GACTACATGTAGGAGATTACAAAAGAAACAACAGAATAGTTGTTAAGATGAGCTAAAAGTTTCCCATGACAAGACAATGTGACCTACACAAAAATAAATGTGAATTCCAAGTAAGGCTTTCAGCTTTTCAAGCCAATTACAATCCATCACTCACTATTACTCTGGAAGTAACATGTCTCAGATATACTCTAATACTTAGGTTGCATAATGTTCACTAATTTAGGATTCTCCGACTCAGAAATAAATGGCACCAGGTTCACATTTAGCATCCATAAAAATATAAGAAAGTCATCATCATGAATCAAAATCCCAGCAAAATATGTTTGAACCTCTACTATGTCACAGGCATTTAGAACTGAATTTTAAAGTTAAAGTATTAAGAAAAAATAGTTGAGGTCCCTAAAATTTTCCAAAAGATAGAATATAAAGTAGAGAACAGGGTAAAGATTAAATGGGATCATTTGTTTCCTATCAGGCAGGAAAACCAAGCAGAGGAAGCTCTGGAGTCAGACAAAACTGAATTCTAATCCTACAATCAGCAGCTTAGACAAGCTGCTAAAAAACCGGGATGATAAAACTGCAGAAATTACATTAAAAACTGTAGGAAAAGCACCCAACACATCCCTTGCATGCTAGTAGATGTTCAGTGAACAACGGGATTTTTTTGTCATCATTCTTACTAGTAGTATCAACTGCAAAACATGAACTCTGCTGCTATTTTTAAAAATCTGTTAAGAACCTATCACTATAGTTGGCATATGAAAAATTCATGATAAATGCTTGCTCAATGAGCAAGAACTGAATGAAATCCGAACTGTGTGGAGATGGGCAGCAAAGGTCAGACAAGATCAAATTGTTGGGTTGGCCATAAAGTTCATTTGGGTTTTTGGTGACAACTTACGGGAACCCAAATGAACTTTCTGGCTAAGCCAATACTTCTTATCTGTCTCAGTTCTTCTGAGGAGGATTTCCTAGGAAAGAATTTTTACCCTCCCCTACTTTTTCTGCCTTTGTGATTGTCTGACTACTTTATGAGCAATGTAATTTTCCCTCTGACCTCTAGAGCCATTGCCAGAGAAAGATCTGCTTCTCCATTCTGTTGTTAAGTCATTGTTCTAAATTTTGGTTTGTTACAAATCCAAGAGACTCAGGTTAGGTTAGCAGAGCAAGTAATTGTTAAGTGCTTGGGCAGTAAACCAGGTATAGGGTCATGGTTCTGGGGTGAGAAGAGATTGCCCGGGTTTCCCTCAGTCTCCACTTATCCTAAACCCAGCAGGCTGATGCTTGCTTACTCCATTATGGCTAACATTCCTGAGCTCTCCACGGCCACTGGGACTCATCAGGCCTTCATTTGCTATAAAATGAGTGGTGAAATCAATGTGGAAGACATCTTGAACAAGTGGTCCTTGCCCTGTGTCCTTGCTTTGTTCTGCCATTACTAAGTCATGTAATGTGTGACATGTTTTAACTAGATCTCTTCTCTTCGGTCAAAGGAGACAAAAAAGTGGGTCACTAAAAGCACAGGTATGGGACTCCCCTGCCGATCTTGTGGTTAAGATTTCACCTTCCAATGCAAGGAATGTGGGTTTGGTCCGAGGTGGGGAGCTAGGATCCCACCTGTCTGGAGGCCAAAAAACCAAAACATTAAAGCAGAAGCAATATTGTAACAAATGGTCCACATGAAAGAAAAATTCCAAAAAAAATTTTTTAAAAAAGAGCACAGGCTTTGCAGACAGAAGTATGTGGCTTCACACATTGGCTTTGAAATGTAACAGCATTGTAACTTTGTGCAAATTACTTAACTTTTTCCATACCTCAGTTTCTTACTATATAAAATGACAAAAATAGTAACATCATAGGCTAATTTGATAAGGGTCAATGAAACAACATCTCTAATATACTCATCAGAGCATAAAACACATAACGTCTCATTCTCCCCAATATAAGCAAACAGGCTTTAGTCTGCAATTTCAAAAATGCACTGTCATATTTCATGAAATTTAAGTCTATAAATAAGGCACACACTTTTTGCCCTTTTTAAGATTTCTGTGGGAAAAAAGTTCACCTCAAACTCAAAAATCCCAGTTCACAGCACACAGGATGCAGTGGCCACATTAAACTATTAAACTCCATGGAAAGACTTTGGGAGCTTTAAATCTGAATTATCTGAAATGAAGCAACCCAAAGGGACAGTGATCACAAAAAAACTAGGCAGGTTTTAGAGGTATTTGCCATCCAAGTATGGTGCAGACAAGTATACCCTTATTTCTGTGAAATGTTTTTTAACAGAAATCTGAGAATTCTATTGCTTTAAAAACAAAGACTAGAGAATAGAAGGAATAAAACTGATATATTAGTGTAAAGGCATAGTAAAAATAAAACCAATAATCAAAAAAACACAAAACTTCTTATCCTTGATCAAGTGGCACTGCAGGAGATGCAAGAGATATGGGTCCGATCCCTGGATCAGGAAGATGCCCTAGAGGAAGGCATGGCAATCCACTCCAGTATTCTTGCCTGAAGAATCCCCTAGACTGGCCAGCTACAGTCCACAGGGTCACAAAGAGTGAGATATGACTGAAGCGACTTAGCACGTAAGCATGCGTGCATCCCTGATCTAACACTTTTCTGACTCAGTACCTTTAGAGGCTGCCAAGTCAGTGGAAAGAAGATAAATTACAACAGATGTAAAAACACAAAGCACCAGAAATCAACAGGTTATAATAAGTGTATAATGTGTCTTGTTCACAGGCAAAGAAATCCACAAATTTGGCAAAACGCAAAATGGGATAAAAACAGTAACCTAGCCATTTCAAAATTTATTTCTTCTAGAAAATGCAATGTTTTGTTGCTATTTGGTTTCCTTTTATACAATCAAAATCAAATAAATAAGAATCAGGAGTTTAAAATCAAAAGTGTCAAAAGTGTCTTGATTTCCTGTAAATCTAGAATTATGTTACTTTTTTCAACCTGTAAGTGTAATACCTTAAACTAGATCTTCCTGTTCCTACTCTTCCTCTAATTGTGTGTGTTCAGGTATTTTCCTTCCACTAAAGATTTCTTGGCTCCTGATATCTTTCTCAAAGCCAGTATCTAAACATTGTGTGGTAGGCTGCTGATATTAACAACAGTTATGATACAGTCAGTACTATGGAGTGTTCAGCAAGGTGAGGAATAAAGTGTCATGTAGCATGCACAGAAAACGTGTAACCTGCTAGTGGTTCTCAGCAAGCCCAATGTCTGACATCTCACATCATGAATCTGGGGCACTCAGGTCAAATCTAACTGCCATGCTAGATGGATAATAGATATCTTCTAGAATATCAACGATAATGATAGACAGACATTTTAGCTGGCACTTACACACTTCCTATGGAAAATAACCACAGCAAAATTCTATCGGGAATAACATCACAAAACTACAAACATTTTTAAATGCCTTCCTCAATAAAATACAACAAAAACAACAGCCAAAAGGAAGCCAAAAAGAATACAACAACCTTTGTAGGAGCCATCAAAACTTATTTTTCTATAAGACTGTGAATTACTTCAAATTATTTTAAATCATCTCTTAAGTCAAAATGCAAATCTATAAGGATCAGGAAAAATCAGAAAGCAGACAGCCAGCAGTAGATTCCACCATAAGCTGTGGCATCTACACTGAAATAAATTGGTTATAATGAACCCTCAGGGGCTGGGCAGGGGGCAAACACACTTAAGACACATTGCCTGTTCCCTTATGTAAATCATCCAAGATTTACAAACAGTGCTGTATATAATTTTTATCTTTATATATACTGTATAAATATTGTAAGGTAGTATTCTCCAAGCATACATAATTTTAAAGTTATTATACAATTGGAAAACAGCATACTATTTTCTTTTAACTTATAAGGAAGTTAAGAAAAATGATTACTTAATACTCTCCTCGGTATTAAAACACTGTGCAACTTCCAAAAGATTGTTGAATTGTCTTCTGAAATCATGCTGTGTTGTGCTTAGTCGCTCAGTTGTGTCCGACTCTGCAACCCCATGGACTGCAGCCCGCCAGTCATGGACTGTTCTTGGGGATTCCCCAGGCAAGAATACTGGAGTGGGTTGCCATGCCCTCCTCCAAGGGATTTTCCCAACCCGGGGATGGAACCCAGGTCTCCTGCATTGCCACCTGGGCTTTGTACTGTCTGAATCACCATTTACCATTCAAGCCACCATTGTTATCATCCCCAAAATCATCTCTAAACCTGTTGTGTGTTGCTATATGAATCTACTTTAACTTACATTTTACATTTAATTATACAGCAACAAAATAAGCTCAAAAAAGAATAATCAGCTTACCCTTTATTATCATAAATCTGCCAGTTGCCTCTAACAAACATATTTCAAACCAAGAAACCCACTTGATTTAAAACATAATTTTGAAATAGTATTTAATAACATGCCCATCATTTCTATTTACTTTCTTACTTTCAAAGAGTTTTCTCCCCTTATTTTTTTGAAGTTTCATTTAAAGTTTCATCACTTTATTTTTTATTTTATATTGAACAAGGGCTGCTTACAATATTATATTGGCTTCAGGGGTACAACATAGTCATTTCATATTTTTATAGATTAAGCACCATACAAAGCTATTATAATACTGACTGTATCCACATGCTGTATATTACACCCCTATGGCTTATATAATATATAACTGGTAGTTTGTACTGTTTAATCTTCTTCACCTCTTTCATCCGCCCCACCACCCCGTCCCCTCTAGCCAGCACTAGTTTGTTAATAATATCATTTTCTTCCCCTACAAGAACTGATAACCTTTGACCGTCTGAAACACAAACTTGAATGTGAACTTGAATAATTGCTGTTTCCCAGTAACTTACTGCAGTGGAGAACATAAGCCATTTAAGGGCTGACATCTAACCAACTGTAAGAACTGCAACTTCTCAAACCCAACCAGCATTCCATAAAAATGATGGGCTGTTAACTTTAATAGCATCGAGACCTACCTCAGGCTCAGAGCCAGCACTTGCTCCTTGGACTTCAGTAGCTCCCCGACTTTAAAACTGGCATAGCCCAGGAAACTTCGCTGAAAATAAGAAAGAATGGTTTCTATTAACTTCCGAGATTCTTAACAGTTTGTATCACGTCAATCACACAAAATTAGCCTTTAGAAGAATGAAATGTTAACTCTATTAGCCCGACAAAGATTCCACTGACTAAAGTACAACCGTCAGTAACATAAATCTACTTCACGGGGTGAGATTGAGGGGGTGTGAATTCATCCTTCTCTCTAAAAACAGAGATGAAGAGCCTGGAAAAGAATAAAACAGCCAACAGAGAAGCCAGGACTTTTCCACAAACAAACCCCACATAAGAAAACTTATATAAAAGAAAAGATAACAAACGGTCAATGTTTACCAATGCCGAGCTTATTCTTATTAGAATTCCTCAAGGCATGGGCAGCACTAACTTTGTATTCCAGATATGAGCAAATCTGTTAGTTGAAGCTATTTTTATGTGGGACTCTGTACAAGCTATAAATAGAAATGCTATATTTCTCCCCCATCACAGCAATGTTTAAACGTATTTGTCTCCTTTGTTATTTCTACACTATCATGGGACAATTTCATTCCAACACACAAAAAAGAATGGTACTTATTTAGTTACATTTTCTAAAATTGTTTTTTAAATCTATCATACTGGGTATTGGCTATCTATGAATGTATCTACCTTCTACATTCTCTGACTTATAATATGAAGAATAAAACACTAAATTGGTTTCCCTTTTCCAGGATGAAAATCTTTCATCTCTTTTTAATATTCCTGGCTGCTTGCGATTTAAAAGTCAGAATATTATAGTATACCATAAATAGGATTTTTCATTCTCCTTTCAAGGTCAAGATGTAAACATGAAAATATCAAACCCATATTATTACCCATACCATTGCTGCCTAACACTTTGCAATACTTTACAAGAAGTCCACACTACATCTTCCAGAACATTCTCTCCTCATAAGTCTGTTGCTGGCCTGCCCTAAAATGAGATGCCAGGTTTAAGTCAACTGGGTCTTTTCAGAGGAAAGTGTGCAATTATTCCATACATAAAAGGCTGCACCTACACAAAGGGATCACTGGCCATAGGGGAGAAAAGCTTCAGGTCAAAATTTTTTTTCTCTTTTCAAAGCTCTAACTTAGAAGAACTGGTTCAAGTCATAAAGGCAAAAATCTGAAATACAACTTGTTTCTCAAGTTGGAGATATCAGTATGTGAGTAATGATAAGCCCAACTGATTCACATGAAACGCAAAGAGGTGGTTTAGACAACAAGCCCCAAATCCAGAATCACAGAAGACTAAATTTTCAGATGAAGAATGTTATGTGAAAACAGAAAATTTGCGGAAACAAGGTCTGATGACATGAGTGAAGAGAGTGAATCAAGGCAGAAAAGAAGCCCATGAGCTGTATGAACAAAGGTTCAGGAAATTTAGGGTGACTTTTCAGTAAGGGGCTGAGCTAGTTGAGGAGATTCCCAGCTGAACAAAAGCATTTACATCACCTCAGCAGAGGTCTACTAGGCTGTCTCTGTGTAAAAGAGCTCCCCCCACCCCCACTGCTAGTCTCCATTCCTTATCCTGATGTATTGTTTCTATTGTCAGTTAAATACTATGTATTTAATTGCCTATTTTTCCCTCCCCTCAAAATAAAAATTGGGATTTGAAGTTCCCCGATGAGTTTTGCTTTCTGCTAAAACACTGCTTCACATTAGGTGCGTGATAGTGAGTGACGATAAATCAATGAACAGATGGCATACACACTACCTTTCAAGTAAGTTATTCTATAATACATAAAAGAAATCCTTCTGCAGATATTTACAAACTATTTAGTGGTAAAGAATCTGCCAACCAATGCAGGAGACACGAGAGATGCAGGTTCTATCCCTGGGCTGGGAAGACACCCTGGAGTAGGAAATGGCAACCCACTCCAGTGTTCTTGCCTAGAAAAATCCCATGGACAGAGGAGCCTGGTAGGCTTACAGTCCATGGGGCCACAAAGAATCGGACATAACTGGGTGACTAAGCACATAGTTCACTGAACTGTGGGAAATCAAAACAATTTTTGAGCCTGCAGATTGTGTACTATGTTAGTGAATTTCACTTTAGCATTTAAGTACTTTGAAGACATGTCTCACTTAACTCTTTCACTGGTAATTAGGGGTTTTAATTTAAATTCCACCCCTCACTCATTATCCCCACTTGAAGAAAATGCTTAACTCAGTGGAAATGCCAGTGTCCCCAAAATTCAACTTATTTCCCCCCTCTGCCTTTTGAGATTTTGAAAGTAGAGATAGTTTTAGAATTAAGAAAACAAACTGCACATGCTACGCATGTTATTGTGGTCTTTTCAGCAATAAAAGTGGCAGATGTCCCAGACGGGAATGTAGGAAGGAACAGGTGGAGGGGCTATTTTCAGAAATGCTCTACAGACACACCAAGAGACACAGCTGCAAGTAGTCTGTGACCACAAGCCACTGATGTCTCTCCTGCCCACCAGACCTGGAGCTGCTGAGGAAGCAGGCCCCTGGCTCATGCATCTTCTAGCTCAGTCCATGGCTCAGAACACAGGGACTGTATGCCACGCTCACTGCTGCACTGTGAGAGCTTGCAGTGTTCCAAAAAAGGACGCTCGTGAGTCAGTCTTCTCCATCACAACTCTCAATGCCATGACTAACTTCAAAGGACAATACCCTTTGAGAGAGCTTGCAGAAATCATACACGCCATTACAAACCACCTTAGGTGTTACGTGTACTCAGTTGGTAAGTTATGTCCAACTCTTTGCAACCCCAGGGACTGCAGCCTACCAGGCTCCTCTGTCCATGGAACTTCCCAGGCAAGAATACTGGAGTGGAGTTGCAATTTCCTTCTCCATGGGATCTTCCCAACCCAGGGGTTGAATCCTCATCTCGTCTCCTGCCTTGATGGATGAATTCTTTACCACTGAGCCACCTGAGAAGCCCGGTGGTATTATGAAACCATGTCAAACCAGAGCAAGTGTTATACATTCTAAAGTTTTTAAATTTTACTCTAAAAGTAACTATACACTAGGACTTCATGTTGCAAAAAATGCACTATGACTACCTAGAGGGGTGGGATGCAGGAGAGTGAGAGGGAAGCTCAAGATGAAGGGATGTATGTATACTTAGGGCTGATTCACGTTTTTGTATGGCATAAACCAACACAACATCATAAGGCAACTATCCTTCAATTAAAAATAAAAAAACAAATAAAAGGCATTAATAAAATCCCCCAATTTACAGACAGTGCATAATTCACATTGCAATACTGACCAATGGACTTGTCCATACATTTACTTTCTAGCAGGTTTTTATGTGCTTGCTTCACTTCAATGAAAATATTAATAAGATTATGACCTTCCACACCTCAGAAGGTGGAAAACACATCATTCGTTTACATGAATATTCACTGGACTCTTGGTAAAAGATGAATTAGAGAAAACAGTCTTCTCTATTCCTGAAACTTGAATTCCCATGGAGGGAAAATAGCACACAGTACTAATGCAAAAGAAAAACTTAATATAGTTACTCTATCTTACTGCCATTTTAATCATAATCATATAACTTAAGAAAATTATTTTTAACAATTTTTTTATATTGCACGTATAACTTAGGAACATCTTTATCTCTCCTTCAATGTTGTTTCTAAAATTCTTATCCTAAAAGTTTTAAAGTAGAAGCTCCAATATTAGGGGGAAAATTTAAAAAAAAAATAGTGTCACTAGAGTCAGAGGTCTGAAGTGCTATTCTAAATTTAGGATGATATCCAAAAATTAAAATCTGGGCAAGTAAATCATTTCTCCAAGCCCCCAGGCTAGTTGTCTACTGATGGGCATTGAAGAGCTCTGTAGGTCTGTCTTCTCTCTCACAGACCTAGGAACTGCACAATTCATTCCACCACATTAGGCCTTTGACTTTCAATTTCAGTTCAGTCACTCAGTCATGTCCGACTCCTTGCGACCCCATTAACTGTAGCACGCCAGGCCTCCCTGTCCATCACCAACTCCCGGAGTCTACCCAAACTCATGTCCATTGTGTTGGTGATGCCATCCAACCATCTCATCCTCTGTTGTCCCCCTCTCCTCCTGCCCCCAATCTTTCCCAGCATCAGGGTCTTTTCAAATGAGTCAGCTCTTCCCATGAGGTGGCCAAAGTACTGGAGTTTCAGCTTCAGCATCAGTCCTTCCAATGAACACCCAGGACTGATCTCCTTTAGGATGGACTGGTTGGATCTCCTCGCAGTCCAAGGGACTCTCAAGAGTCTTCTCCAACACCACAGTTCAAAAGCATCAATTCTTCTGTGCTCAGCTTTCATTATAGTCCAACTCTCACATACATTAGGCCTTAGTTTCTATATGAAGCTGTTGCATATGATAATAGTTCTTTCTCATAGTTACTGTTACAAGAATTAAAGTAATCTAGGCAAAGCATTTAGTACATTGCTGGGAAAATTGAAACCACTGCATAAATATTAGATTATATAGTGCTTAAGGAAAATATGCCCAGAAGTCAGATGACTTAAACATAAGTCCACTTTAAGTATTTTTGGAAAAGGCAGAGTATTAAAAAATGTCTGAGAGAAATTCCAGTTATAAAAAAGGAAAACACATGTTTAAAAATAAAAGTTAGATTCAAGCAAAATATAACTTGAAATAAACTCTAGTGAAAAATAAGTTTTTCTGCCAAATGGGAGAAAGTGAAGAGGAACTAAAGAACCTCTCAATGAAGGTGAAAGAAGAGAGTGAAAAACCTAGCTTAAAACTCACTAAGATCATGGCATCTGGTCCCATCACTTCATGGCAAATAGATAGGGAAAAAATGGAAACAGTGGCAGATTTTATTTTCTTGGGCTCCAAAATCACTGTAGACGGTGATTGCAGCCAATTAAAAGACACTTGCTCCTTGGAAGAAAAGCTATGACAAACCTAGATAGTGTGTTAAAAAGCAGAATCGTCACTTTACCAACAAAGGTCTGTGTAGTCGAAGCTATGGTTTTTCTGGTAGTTATGTATGGATGTGACAGCTGGACCATAAAGAAGGCTGAGTACTGAAGAACTGATGCTTTCAAACTGTGGTGCTGGAGAAGACTCTTGAGAGTCCCTTGGACTGCAAGGGGATCAACCAGTTAATCCTAAAGGAAATCAACCCTAAATATTCATTGAAAGGACTGAAGCTGAAGCTGAAGCTCCAATAATTTGGCCACCTGGTGTGAAAAGCTGACTCACTGGAAAAGACCCTGATGCTAGGAAAGATTGAGAGCAGGAGGAGAAGGGATTGACAGAGTATGAGATGGTTGGATGGCATCACCGACTCAATGGACATGAGTTTGAGCAAACTCCAGGAGACAGTGAAGGACACAGAAGCCTGGCATGCAGTAGTCCATGGGGTTGCAAAGAGTTGAATACAACTTAGCAACTGAACAACACCCTAGTGAAAAGGAGATATGAATGTTATGTGGTCCCTTGCAGTTCATAGTGCTGAGTACATGATAGCTATGCTTTCTTGTAACTCAAATTTTTATTAGATCATGTGGAATGTTTATCAGAGACCAAGAAATGTCTGGATGAAATCAAAGAAAGTTAATACTTGTGGAGACATGGCCCGCCTGTAGATAAAAATCAGGGACCCATAGGAGTTAACTGGCTTACACCCCATCACAAAACTAGTTAACATGCAGAGGCCAAGTTAGAATCCAGGTTTCTTACTCTTCAGTCCAGAATTCTTTCATCCTGCCTCATGCTGTGGGCCTCATTTCCAGGACAGGTGGCAATCCCCTTTCCTTCTGACAGGCTCTCTGTCCCCACTCTGTGTGGCTCTGACCTTTCTGGCCTGCTCATGACGATGCGACACTCACAATTATCATTCTGATGCAAGCACCCAAAGTAGATGACTATTATGTTGCTAGATGCACGATCTCAATCATTCACCTGGCTGGAGAGTGATATCAAGCAGGGTGGAGAAAGCAAGCCATCTGTGTCAATCCCGAGCCCTGCTCCCCGGGGAGTGTACACATAAACAGTCCCTCCCACCAGTCCCAGCAAGGACTCTGAGTAACAGACATCCAGGGTGCTCAGCAGGGCTGCGTGCTCCCTGAAACAGGTCCTCAGCAGTCTGGTACCCTGGTATTACACCAGGACCCAGAGGAAGTACCGCCCCATAGGCATACCTCCAGCACCTATGTTCATCTCACAAAGCCTTTATGCCAAGTAATAGGTTTTCTTTATACTTCGACTTGTGTGAACTGCCCCAAATTTTTCAAGTGCTGTCCAGAGCTGCATTATCCAGCTTGAGCACTAGGTTGCGGCTATGGTGAATTGTGATGTATTCTATGCATAAATACACATCAGTTATAAGATGTGATATGAAAAAAGTGTGACATATATCATTAATGATTTTTACATTGATTATATTTTAAAATGATAATACTTTTGCACGAAGTGAAGTCGCTCAGTCGTGTCCAACTCTTTGCAACCCCATGGTCTGTAGCCTAGCAGGATCCTCAGTCCATGGGATTTTCCAGGCAAGAATACTGGAGTGGGTTGCCATATGTCTTTTATACTCTGTTCTATTCTCATAAAACTATATACAGTAACTGTGGTGTATGTTGTAAAAGGTCTTTGAAAACCTGAAGTTGATATCGTGAGGCTGATATATAACATCTCCTACAAACTTATAGGACAGGGCTTTTTTCATACCTTTGTACAAGTATTTTTTTTTTGCATAGATAGGGTTAAATAAAATATTATAATTAATTTCATCTATATCTTTTTACACTTTTAAAAGCATGGGCTACTAGAAAATTTTAAATTATATATGTAGCACACATTATATTTCTATTAGTGCTGGTTTTGAGGTTAAATGTATATGTCTGTTATACTCTGTCCTATTCTCATAAAACTATATAGAGTAACTGTGGTGTAAGTTGTAAAAGGTCTTTGAAAACTTGAAGTTGATATCGTGAGGCTGATACATAACATCTCCTACAAATAACTTACAGGACAGGACTTTTTTCATACACCTTCGTTCAAGTATTTTTTCTTTGATCTCAACCCTAACGGACATGGTTGCACAGTCTCCCACCCCACAGGGAGGGACAGAGAATACATGAACTATTTGGGCTGAAAAAATACATCAGAAATTAAAAAAAAAAAAACTGAGAGGAAATACATTTAACATGATGAAGAGTCTACAAAAAACATTAAAAAGCACTTTAGGGTGAAGTCATATATATTATAAAATTACAGCTTTATTATGAATATACCTGAAAAGTTCTCACAGCACAAATTGGTATGCACTTGACTAAGTCATCAACAAAAGTGTGGGTGCATCTAATAGATGCTGCTGAAGAATGCAAAGAGACATGTGGAATGTATTTGAAAGATTTATAATAAAATGTTTAGCTTGTTTTTAAAATAGGAGTACTTAGTGGTTAGAGTTCTTGACACATTAACCAAGAACTTAAACCCTCAGGAATTTTTTCAGTATCCAAAAAAAATGTTCTGAGGAGTGATGAGATGTATATCAACCAGTGGTCCTTCATAGCTCCTCAAGGTGTGGCAATTCTTCCCTATCAGAATATCAAGTATTTTGAGAATGTTAGAAAGCCAAAGCATGCTTTAAAGTGTTAGTTGCTCAGCCATGTCCGACTCTTTGCAACCCCATGGACTATAGCTCACCAGGCTCCTCTGTCCATGGAATTCTCCAGGCAATAATACTGGAGTGGGTTGCCATTCCCTTCTCCAAGGAATCTTCTTGATGCAGGAATTAAACGTGGGTCTCCTGAATTGCAAGCAGATTCTTTACCATCTGAGCCACCAAGGAAGCCACCAAGTCATGCTGACTTATTTTTATTTAGGCTCCTGCTTATCATGCTTATGTTCAGCAATATAACTGCCATTTCACTGTTATCTGATGTGTCCTAAAATGTACTAGATTCTTGCCATGTTATGTGATTATCTTTGGACACACCCTCCCTTTGTATTCTGGTGGTCTAAACAAATACAGATAGTTGGCAAACCAAAATCTTGGAATGGGAGATAGCACCAGTAGGGAGGAGCAGCTGGGCAGGGAGACTGCATGGGGCCTGCTGGGAGGGAAGCCTGAGGCTGGAAGGACTTGCTGGTCCCTTGGGGAAAAGTATAGAAGCCCCCGTAGTCTTGGCAGTGACACTGGTGGTGGATGTAAGAAGAGCAAAAGAGGTTAAAAGGAAAGGCAGGAAACAAAGCAGTAAAATTCACTTGAACCGGAGTTATGCAACCTGCCCCAGGAAGAAACTTGAAGTCAGTGTTCAGCACGAGCGAGCATGGAAGCATCATTTTTCTTCGCCTCCGCTAACAGATGCAGAGGCGGCTGACTCACTTTGCAGCCAGTTCACACTTTCTGGATGGCTCCCTTTGGCCAGTTGGAAGAGCAGCTGTGACCAATGAGGAAGTGAATGCTACCTAGTACAGTGTTCCCCACACCCACCGGAAGAACGTTGCTAATTGCATGTAGGACTTCAGGGAATTTCAAATAGGCCTTTCAGTTGGCTCAGCCACAGGGTCTCTTAGACTAAACTTATTTCTGGACTTTTTCCTCTTTTCTGAATGCAAAATCCCAGGGACAAGCCTCCTGGGCTATCTTTTCAAGAGCTTCTGCTGCCTTGTCTAAGCAAAATCACCTATTAACCTCTTGTTCTCCCAACCTCTAAAAGCCAGAGAGGCGATGATTCTGATGCAGCAGGAAAACCTTAGCTCGATCTCCCAACACTGGGCCATACTTTCGTGGCAGTTTCTGTTTGACTTGCACTCTAGGAAATCAAACCAGTCCACCCTAAAGAAAATCCACCCTGAATATTCATTGGAGGGACTGATGCTGAAACTGAAACTCCAATACTTTGGCCACCTGATGCGAAGAACTGACTCACTGGAAAAGATCCTGATGCTGGGAAAGACCAAGGGCAGGAGGGGAAGGGGACAGCAGAAGATGAGATGGTTGGATGGCATCACGGACTCAGTGAATGTGAGTTTGAGCAAACTCTGGAAGATAGTGAAGGACAGGGAAGCCTGGAGTGCTGCAGTCGGTGGGGTTGCAAAGAGTTGGACATGACTAAATGACTAAACTCAACTCCACAGGGAGCAGAAACGTCACAGTCCCATTATCAAGTCTCTGTCTCCTTGCTGGACAGGTAGAGCTCACATCTTCAATTTCCCAGCCTCCTGCTGGTCCAGGAATGTTGGTTCCAATGGCATCTCAGTTTCCTGCAGGGCAATTTCTAGACTTTTCTCTAGCCAACTGAACTAAAGATGAATTCACATCATGATGATTTTCAGGAGAAAAGGAATGAAGTCCATGCAATTCAGCAAATATGTGACAATGTCTCCTTGCATAGTCACACCCAGTTAATTTAACTCAAATTTACTTTCAGCTACCAGGCAGTAGGCCAGAGAAAAATCCAAATGATTAGATTAGAAGCAACATGCATGCCTTTTGGAAACAGAAGACACACTTACCCCAACCTCTGGTGGGGGATCCTTATGTTCAGGCACAACACTGGTTCGAACCTAAGGAGAAAAACAAGCATTTTCTGAATGACTTTCAGAAGTAGAAACCAGTGAAGAACCACTTTCAGAGTAGAAACCAGTGCAGAAGCGTGATACAGGTGTCATTTTCATTTTCCTTCATCTGGAATCAATCCAGACTCTGTGGTTAATCATTACTGAAGGTACTTGTGTATAGCTTTGACCGTGGGCAGCTACAAAGCTGTCCTTTTATAGTTCCTGAAATTCCTGATGTCCCTAAGTAGACAGGGCTGCCTGAATCCTCAGCTCAACACTCCTTGTCAAATACAGAGATATCAGGGCTTTAGGTGAATCACTTTTAATCTCCTGGAAAAGCTACCTTCACTCAGCATTCCAGGGAAAGAACAGAGTGACCTAGAGAATGCCGTTTCATGCATGCTTATACATATTTATTCTCTGCATAACAACCAAGATGCACCATCCTTTTAGTATACCCTTCCCACTTAAGAATTCTCAGCCAAATTCTGAGATAACTGCATCCAGATTCCTTTGAAAACTAATTCTCAATTGTGGAAGAGAAAAAATGAGAGTAGTGGTTTAGTTGCTAAGTTGTGTTCGACTCTTTTGTGACCCCATGGCCTGTAGCCCACCAGGCTCCTCTGTCCAAGAGATTTCCCAGGCAAGAATACTGGAGTGGGTTGCCATTTCCTACTCCAGGCAATCTCCCCAACCAAGAGATCAAGCCCCTGTCTCCTGCATTGTAGGTGGTCTCCTGCATTGCAAGCAGATTCTTTACCACTCAGCCACCAGGGAACCCCCAAAGAGGAAAATACGATAAAATAGTCATGTGGGGAAGATTTTCTTATGTTTCGAAAGCATTTCAGATGAAAAATCAACTCCTTACATAATAAATAGACATATTTCTTCTACTGAGTGGTGATCCTCAACCCTGGTTGTACATTACAATTACCTGAGGCCCTTTCAAACTATCTTGTGTTCTTTCCTGGTCCAAGATATTGGCTCTGATGTATTGCTACTGAGTCTATGATTATTAAAAAATTTTTTTCAGATAAAAAGAAATCACAATTATCTTTCTCACTTAAGAAAAAGCTACTAACAGCAGGAAGAGAACATAAATCCTAGACCTACTATATCTAAATTTGCAGTAAAGATGTGATAAACAAGTTAAATGAATATAGAGCAATATACAAGAACACTGTGCTTAACTGGAGAGCAGAAGGCTGGTGAGACCGATGGGAGAGAGGAACCCAAGAACATATAATGGATCAACATTTTAGGGGGTCATTTAAACAAAATCCCTTTGGAGGTGCAGCAATGGCAATCATATTCTTTGTTTCTTTATGACAGATCCAGCATTATCACTTGTACAATTTGTCAGTCATTACGACTCGAAATCGTTCACCAGAGCACAAAATAATGACAGGAGAGATCCCAACAGAGTAAACAACATAATTTACAGAACACACTCAACTCGGGATTTCATGACAGAGTGCTCACCAGTTAAGAGCATCTCCAGGTTGGTAGCTGCATTAACATTCTTTGGTCCAGAATGTTCAGATATACCTTCAGTCTCATTATCTGGAAATCATTAGTTGGCCTCAAAGGATAAGGAAACTCAGAAACTATATATTAATACATGGCAAGCTGTAATGTAATGTGTGTGCGTGTATGTACATGTAGACTAAATACAGTGTGTGCATGTATATGTATATATATATGTATATGCATACTATATACTGTGTGTATATATGCATATATATACATACTATATATGTATATATACATAATAGAAATATATATAGTGAATATTCACATATATGCAACCCACATACACATACATATATGTGTATATGTATCATTTTAAGAAAACATTTTACATCCAAAAAGCATTAACCAAACACATGTTTGAACTTAGAAAGAAAGCAAAAGAAGTAAAAAAAAAAATGGTGAGAGTAAACATATATAGGACTGCATAAAGTGACCTCATGTACAAATATATATATATATATATACTATGCAATATATATTGGACAAAGGTATACGAATACTGACAATTGTTGCAACATAGTCGTTAAAGTCCTAAATTTATACCCGTGTTATCAGTAGAACACTTATACCTTATTAATATGAATAAACTGCATAGAGAAAAAAAGATTCTTAACCCAAAGTTGCAAACTATGAAAATGTCTAAAGCTATTCACTGACCAGTTTGCATATTCAGTGTGTGTGTGTGTCTGCCTGTCTGTCTGTGCACACATGGGCAAAGCAGAGGGAAAGACAGAGTGAACTTCACTTTACATAATAGAAGTATCTGTACTTCATATTTTCCTGTACCGTGGCATGTTTAAATCACAAGCGTAACTCTTAATGTAGAGGAACTTAAAGACAAAATAATAAACCAATTTTAAATTTTATAAAGTCAAATTTGTTAGGAAATGTTTGTTTAAATCAGTTTATATGTAGAATTTTAATTTATATATTTAACATCAATACCACTGATGTTACAGTATATAGGTTACAAATTAATCATGCTTTTCTTACATAATATACATCCCTCTTCACAGTGAAAACACTGGGTTTGTCAGTGAATCAGATCCCATTCCTTCTCTTGGGGACTTTACAGTCTAGTGGGCAGCACAAATATATGAATAATCCAGGACAATGCAATAAGTTCTAAAATGAAACTGTGGGTACATTCCTGTCTTCATGCAGAGTGAAGAGTAACTGATTCAGCCTGTAAGCATCAGGAAAGGCTTCACAACAGAGGAGGTCTGGGTTCTGAACAGTGAGCAGGAGTTTGAAGCAAAGGAGAAGGCAACCAAGCAAAGAAGGTGTTATGTAGCAGGCATGGAGTCACAAAAGCCCATCTGTGTTTGGAAAAGACAGAGTATTCAGAAGACAGTCTAACATGGGGCCTCTAAAGGACACAAGAGTCAACTCTGTTTGGGGAGAGAGATCAATCTATCATGTTATGGAACTGGAGTTGTATACAATTTCTAGATAATAGGAAATTTTAAAAAAAGTATGTATTTATTTTACTGTGCCAGGTCTAAGTTGCAGCACATGGGATCTTTGATCTTCACTGTGGCATGTGGGATCCTTTGCTGTGGCATGCGGGATCTAGTTCCCCAACCAGGGATCAGACCCAGGCCCCCTGCATTGGGAGCACAGAGTCTCAGCCACTGGACCATTAAGGAAGTCCCCTCCTGGATCATTCAAACTCTGCCCAGAGTCAGGTTGGGAGATTATTTAACCTCCTTACGCCTGCTGTCTTTTCCCTTACAACAGTGACCTCTAACATGGGGTTAGTAAGACACTCCATAGGTGGTTGTGAGTGAGACATCTTTCTAGCACTTAGAACAGTATGTGGCACAGACAGGAAAGGAGGAAGAAATGATAAAAAGAAGGGGAAGGAAGAAGAGAGAAGATTGTGGGGAGTGAGAAAAAGAAAGAGAGAAGGAAGCGATGTCAGAGAAAAGATGAGAGGAAGCAGAGAGAGAGAGACAGGGAGATAGGAATGAGAGAGGAATATGTGATTGAAAAAAAACAAACCCCATAAATAAACCTTGGACAGATTTAGCAGAGACCTCTTGGTGAGAAAGGGATAAGCAATGACTATCTCTATAGCATCTGGAATATTCCAGTTCATCAGCAATGTCATGCCTCCTGAGATTTTCTGGTCTTCTTTATAAATTCATTTTTCCTTTTTTGGTCTTATTAGCAGTTCTTCGCCCTGTTTTGCTTCACCATACCCCGCCCCCACCCCCTCCTGGGACATAAGAATGTCTGCCTGGCTACATATTTAAAGTTTTTACAATTTCCTTTTGTCTGGACTTTTATAATATCAACAAATAAAGCAAGAAAGATCAATTTCTAGGAGTGGTCATGTAGAAAATTATATATTCTATCTTAAATATTTCTTAAGATTCCCGTTAAAACAAATTCATTTCCTTCTCTATCAACTTTATAAGCTCAACTTTCTACATATTAAATTTACCCTGAAAAAAAGAAACAAAGGAAAATCAGGTAGCATATTGTGAGTGCCACCCTTTCATCAAATCCTTATTGACTCATTCATGAACTAATTGTTCAATTAAGAGACCACTTGGGCTATCCCTGCTGTGGCTGAATAAAGCATTCCACAAGGCGATATAAGAAGTTGTTCTTAAATGAGTCACCCTTGTTACAAAAAGCCTAGGCACTGAGCCCCAAGCGTAGGAGGAAGGTGACTGCTGCATTTTTTCATATGTGAGTGGTACTAGGCTATTGTTAGTATCCAGATTCAGGTAAGAAGAGGCCATGCACCAAGGTGTCCAAGCCTGGACTTCATGGGTAGGTGAGGAAGTAGCAATCTTTCCCTGAAGGGTCTCAGCTTGAAGGAAGAGGGGAAGGCATTGGCAGTAGTGGAGAAATACACTTGGGACAAGGGGAAAACACAGATCCTTCCTGCAGACCAGAAGGTCCCTTGTTATGAATGCATCATTGAAATATACCCTTTTTTCTTTTTTTTTTTTTTTTTCAGATCACTTTCTTCTTTTTTTTTTTTTTGATTTACATGTATTCCCCATCCCGGTCCCCCCTCCCACCTCCCTCTCCACCCTATCCCTCTGGGTCTTCCCAGTGCACCAGGCCCGAGCACTTGTCTCATGCACCCAACCTGGGCTGGTGATCTGTTTCACCCTAGATAATACACGTGTTTCGATGCTGTTCTCTTGAAACATCCCACCCTCGCCTTCTCCCAGAGTCCACAAGTCTGTTCTATACATCGGAGTCTCTTTTTCTGTTTTGCATATAGGGTTGTCGTTACCATCTTTCTAAATTCCATATATATGTGTTAGTATACTGTAATGGTCTTTATCTTTCTGGCTTACTTTGCTCTGTATAATGGGCTCCAGTTTCATCCATCTCATTAGAACTGATTCAAATGAATTCTTTTTAATGGCTGAGTAATATTCCATGGTGTATATGTACCACAGCTTCCTCATCCATTCGTCTGCTGATGGGCATCTAGGTTGCTTCCA